AGAAAAAGGACAGCCCCCTGTGGTGTCCAGAATAGTTTTTGCAGCAGCCGTTGTGTGTGCATAACGACTAGCAACAACCCCGCCCCACCCTCTTCTCTGCTTTCCTTGTGTTGCTCTTGCCGAAATCACACACAGGGTGTTATATGTATGTATGTATGTATGTATGTATGTATGTATGTATGTACGCTATATATATATACATGTATATATATATATACACATACACATTTGCATATGTACGTACATACATACATACATACATGCATGTATACATACATACATACATACATACATACATCATGCATGCATACACACACATACATACATACATACATACATACATACATATATATGTATATATATATATGTACATTCATTCATACATATGTACATATGCACACACGCATCCGCTTTTATGTGGCCCAGCTATGGCATGTACATCTGAAAGCTTTGGCGACGCATGTGGCTGCATTTATGGTTGGGCTTTGCGCAGGGATACATCTCGACATCGACGCACAGGGGTGCATGAGTAGGTGGCCGAATGAACGAGTCAATGGACAGGAAGAAGCGTCACGAGACACGTGCCATCACAATGCCGCTGAACGAACACATGAGGTCCACTTTGCCCGGGCAGCAATAGATGATCAGCGCAGGATCAAACAAGGAGCTTTTCTAGCACATTCGCTTTGTGGATGCCAAACTCGCCCGAAACCCGAAAGCCCCCAACTAAACCTAAACGCTAAACCCCTAAACCCGAACCTCGAGAGTTGAAGATCCATCCGAGGCCACTTGAGAGGTCGGAGCTTCCGGTTTCAAACTTGCAACTGGGCTGCGTCTGAGGGTGTAGGAGTTTAGGGATGTGGGCTTAGGGTGTAAGGTTTCGGGTTTAGGGTGTAGGATTTAAGGTTCAGGGAACCTCAGCCCGTGCTGTAAAAGGGGTTTAGGGACAAGAAGCACTCAGATTTGGGGCTTTCGGGTTCAGGGGTTTCCGAAAAGGGTTCCTGGGGGTGTTTAGGCGAGTGTCGTCGAATCTGATCATATGGGCAGCACCAAAAACAGGGGGGTGCTACAATCGAAATAGATTTTAGGGCCCACAAGCTCTGAATTTAAAACAAAGCTACCGGCCCCATGGGCCAAGCACTGAAAGCACAAACACGTTAACTCAACAAGCTAACCCTGAAGGCCAACGCCTGCCCACCCGAAGTCTTCCCTAAACCCTGCACGTTTCTTTCGGATCCTTTCAAGAGCCGCCTAACATCCTAAAGGAGCATGCCTAAACCTAAAGCTCTGCATCCCAAGCCGGGTCAGGGGTTTAGGACAAAAATTAAAAAGGTTTTCAGGGTTCAGAGAGTCTGAACTTTACAGCTGCTGTAGGCTTGATCCATGTGCGAACATGTTGAAGCCCAAAAGTGGGAGCACTAAACCCGAAAACTTCCGGCTGAGGTCCAGAGTGCCAGCCGCCCCTGTGCTGCCAGCTCCCCTCGAATCTCGGATTTAGGGGTAGAGGGAAAACCAAGCAGTCAACGACGTCTGCATTAGATACGGCATTCCCAAAGAAACCGCAAGTGTTGATTATGATCCTGGAGGTGCTCGGTGTTTAGGGCCAGGGCTGAGGGCGTAGGGTGTTTAGGGCTTCAGGGCTTGTTGGACTTTCGAGTATGGTTGTTTTTGCCATCTGCTGCCTGGCTATTTGAATTAAGACCCCAGGGTTCCTTGAGAAGTATCTTTACTTTACATTGTGTACCGCAGCCCACAAACCCCATTCTCTGCGTGCTTGCATTTTTGCAGGCTGCATGCATACATGATACTGTCAAACAGGCAGACAGACACAGACAGACAGACAGGCAGACAGGCAGACAGGCAGGTAGATCTTTCCACGCCGCCCGAACAATGCGGTGATGAACCCGAAGAGTCCCTCTAAACACTTGAAACCCCAAACCCAATCCCTAAACAGGAGCCCGTAAAGGGAGCCCTTAATGAAACCGAACCCTTCAAAAGTAACCCTAAACAGGAACCCTTTCTCAGAGCCTTAATAGGGTCCCTTAGACGGAACCCTTCAAAGGAAGCCTCAAAAGGACCTTACTAAACCCTCAACTGTAAACCCCAAACCTTCAAGCCTCAACCCTCAACCCTAAACCCTAAACCCTAGCCTGCCCAAACCGGGCTTCGGATCGCAGGAGACGAAAAAGGCCCTTAAAAAAAAAAAACCCAAAAACCCTAAATCCTAAACCCGAAACCCTCAAGGGAGCCCCCCCAGACGAGGAGCCCGCCCCTGGGTCTCCGGAGCTGCCGAGCATCGGATCCAAGGGGCACCACCGTGGGGACTGCCGGCCATGCGGCTTCCTCTACGCCGCTGTGAACAACAGTAGGGGAGTTGGGGTTTAGGGTTTAGGTCAGGGTTTAGGGTTTAGGGTTTGGGCCTCACTACGCCGCTGTGAAGAACAGTAAGGGAGTTGGGGTTTAGGGTTTAGGGTGTTTTGGGTTCAGGGTTTAGGGTTTAGGATTTGGGCCTCACTATGCCGCTGTGGCAATAGTAAGGGAGTTGGGGTTTGGGGTTTAGGGTTCAGGGTTTAGGGTTTAGGGTTTAGGCCTCTACGCCGCTGTGACAATAGTAGTAGTAGTAGTAGTAGTAGTAGTAATCATAGTAATAGTAATGGTAATAGCAAAAATAAAAGTATAATAGTAATAGAAATTATCATAATAACAGTAGTTGTTGAGGGTTTAGGGAGTGGTAGGATTTTTAGTTAGGAATTAGCTTAGTCTACCCCGCTTTTCGGGGTATTTCAGGGACTTTGGGGGTGTGGGGCTTAGCCAATAAGTCGGTTTAGTGTCTAGGGTTTAGGGTTTAGTGTAGCGGTTTAGGTTTTGGGTGGGTGTAGGGTTTGTCTTCCCTCCAAATGGCTTTTCGGAACTTTCTTCCGGAACCTTTGTTCGTCGACTTCCTGGGATTGGCAGTGCTCTTTAAAGAAACCGTTTAAAGGAAGCCTTGATAGGAACCCTTAAGAGAAGTTTAACCGAAGCGTGGCGCTTCTAGGGTGTAGGCCCGCTCTGGATCTTATTTGGTGATTAGATGGTGTCTGCTGGACTGAGGCCAAGGGCTGTATCAACGGGGCCATGTGCACCTTCTGTCATTTGTGTGACCGTGGGGCAAAGAAGCGTCGCCAGAAAGCCAAGAAGGCCGCATTGAAAGGCGGCGCTTGAGCCTAGCTCTCTATCCAGTAGATTGACTGATGGCGGTTGCAGTTCTCACCAGCAGACTGTGTTCGCCGATAGGACCGGCTACCAAGTCGGAAGTAGAAACCCGCAGATGGAACAAAGTATGCACATACGTGCATAACCACTGGCATGTGTCTCTTTGTTCTCGATAGTGTCCATCCAGTTCCATGCAGTCCATCATTGGAATCATACATAAGTCTATACTTACACACATGCATGTGTGAAGATAGGTGAAACGGTACATTGAGTGTGCAAAAGGAGCAGGCCTTCAGAGGCTTTTCAGTGCTGCCGTTTGAGACGGCGCAGCAATGCCCTGTACACGACCGGCTGGCCGGGTGCAGCTTAGGAATTTAAATTAGGCACCAAGAGTTTATGAGTGCACGCAATCAAGTCGGCACTACTGCACAGAAAATTCGTACAGACGCTGGGAGGAACTCGCATGCCAGTCTGGGACAGCTTCTGTAAAGGGACCGTGGTCGCTTTGGGCTCTGCTCGCAAACTGAACTCTGAGCTACCAGTTCGGGTGCCGCTTCACGATCCAGTGCTGAAGCCGGAGCCCACAGTGTTGCGGTATGCACTTTGGAGACGTCCTGGGGGCTGTTCTAGGCAAGATAGGAATTCTCCAAAGGAGCCATAGCAGGAGTAACGCCGCTGCAGTCTCAAGACTGGCTGGCCCCAGGCAATGTAACCCTTACCGCTACGGTGAGTGGTGGGCATGTGCGCTGTTTCCCGGCTGATAGTTCCCACGCATGGCCCGACAGAAAAAGACAGGAAGGCTTTTGATGTAGAAGCCCGCGAAGTTGGAAGAGGGCTTTGTGCATAGTAGGCGTGTCGTCAGTTTGTAGAACTCGAAGTTGCAGAGGCAGAATCCTAAGCCCTAAAGCCTATATACACTCCTAAACCCCATTTCAGGAGTGCACCTTAGCAGGGCAAGGATGGCTGGAGCATGGATGAGGTGCAGGATGCAGGGGTTCATGGCCGTTCCAGCCCTGACTTGTAATGTGGTAAGACAGAACCACCCTAAACCCCTGAAGTCGTAAAATTCTAAACCGAAACCCTAAATAGGGGTAAGGTTTGGTATTTAGCGATTAGATTTGTTTTCATCTCCTGAGAAAGAAGTCTGATGAAGACTTGCCCCATGAATAGGGATCCAGTGTTGAGGGTTTCTGGGTCCTTGTTCGATACACATTTACATTTTTGTTATAATAAATAGTAAAACCCAACAAGGACGAACCATGATCAGTTTGAACATAGCCCCAACAATCAAAGAACCAGGGTTATCCATCAGATGTCCGGATTCAGCTTCTGCACGGACTCGTGCGTTTATGTCTTCCCCCGAGGCTTGGCACTCTCATGCTTCAGGAGTCTCCAAACAGCCGACCTCGGCATAGCGCGCTCTAGGACGCAAGCTGCAATCCTAGCGGCCGCAAGAATCTAGACGCAAGCTGCAATCCTAGCGGCCGCAAGAATGCACATGTGTCTCCCTTGGCTCCAGCATTAGGGCAGGGAGTTGTTCTTGGTACCTTCGCCTCACGCGCGCGCGCGCACGCGCGTCCCAAAGGGCTTCGTCTCGATGCAGCTCGGCGTGGAATTCTCCGTGGGTAAAGACAGCCCGAGCTTCAACTTAACCAGAGGTCTGGCAGGCAGGTACCCCCCAAAGGCCCCTGAACTTCTTCCTCAAGCCCTAAGCACCCTAAAGCCTAAACCCCTAAACCCATGAAGTCTTTGAGGCAAGCAGCGGCAAGTAGCTAGAAAGCAAGCATAGTAGCCATTTCTGCCTCACCCTCCCGCCAAACTCGAAAACATCCAACGTATCAAAGCTCCGTCTCTAAGAGTGTCGAGATGTTGCCAGCAGATGATGGGAGTTCAGAAAACCACAGAGAGTGGAACGAGCCAGAGAAACCAGGCCCTCAAGTTCAGGGTTCAGGTTTGAGAAGTTTAGGGACATGCTGCCGGGAATCTGGCCGGGCGAGCACTACTGAAGCCCGTGTAAAAAAAGGGTTGAGGGGTGTTGTTCCTAGGGTTTTTGGATCTAGGTTTCAGGGTCCGGCACCTGGGATTGACAGCGGCAGAAAGAATAGATGACACGCTCAGGTACCAGCCAAGACTCCTGATGCAAACCTCGGGTGCTGCCCGGCCTCTGCCGAAGATGGAGATCGTGGTGCCAGAGACAGATTCGGACAAGGGTTTCCCAAGAAGCAAGAAGAAGGAGCAAGATGAACTATACTATACTATAGTATGCTATACTATAAAATACTAATACTATACTGTACTAAACTATACTATACTATACCATAATGTACTATGCTATACTGTGCTATACTATACTATACTATACTCTACTCTACTCTACTGTACTGTACTATACTATACTATACTATACTATACTATACTATAATACTATGTAATACACCGTTGTGCGAAGAACGGCTGGGCTTCAACACGACCCCCTGTAGGAGTACCGATCCACATGGCCCTCAAGCAACACCTGCCTGCTGAGTCCCAAGATGTTTTCAAGCGAGCAAGAAATCCTCGGCATCCCGAAGTGCGGAAGCGTCCCTAAACCCTAAACCCTAAACCCTAAACCCTAAACCCTAAACCCTAAACCCTGAAACCTTAGCCCTAACAACTCGAAGTCTCCCAATGCTTACCCTAAACCCCCACCGCCCCGCCCGAATCTCGTAGCACTCCTAACACCAGCCCTTCGGGATTCATCTATGACGATTTATGTTGTGATTCTCATTGTTACCATGACTGTAGGAGTATCGGCCGGAAAAGGCAACGTGTTATGAGGACAATTGTCCGCGGTCCCACTACCGTTACTATTGTAGTTATAACTGTTGGCTTCACTATTGCTGCAAGCTGATGAGCGCCTTTATATCTTCGAAACTATGATCGTTGTTGTTGCGTTGCTTGCTCTGTTCTTATCGCATGATGATCGTTCCTACAAGGGTTTGTTTGTCTGTGTTGCTAGAGTGTCGATGATTTACTATATCCCGCGACAGTAGAGAGAGGCTGTGAGCAAGGCTGTAGTAGCCGAAATACCCTAATTTTATTCTTACTTGCCGCCTTTCCAGCCCCAACCACGACATAAACCCTAGGCCCTAGCCTTTCGCCCGACAGCACTGAAGCTCAACCCGGCTAAGCAGCACGAAACCGACAAATTATTTCGGCAAGCTTTGCAGGACCTGCTTTCCTATCCTCCGGACTGTATCGAGGCACGCAAGCAAATGGGAGGGAGGTTCAGGGGTCATGCTCTAAACACCCCCTTGAAGCCGAACGATGCAGCAAAAACCCGAACCCGAAATAAACCAGACCAGCGTGTCCTGACCCAGAAGCATTTTCCTCCAGGGCTTTCAGCCATATCTCCAGAGGCGCAGAAGCTTACCTCCCCGAGAAACGTTCCCCTTCGTTCATATGCTAGGGTGCATTCTCCCAACCAAGTCAGAGTGCAGGTGCGGAACACGTTCATCCACGTGAACAGCCCGGCACGGACAGCCTCCCCGCAGGCATTCATCCGTCAGACTTCTGCAAGGAGTGGTTTAGGGGCCTAAATGAAATCATATTGGAGCCTTAACTAATGGGTAGAAAAGTGTTTGGGCATTATTCTGACATAAATACATGAGTATGAAGGTAAATGTCAGTATGAAAGTCTAGAAGTATAGTAACATACACATATCCCTCTCATTTTGTTTAAATCTCTCTCTCTCTCTCTCTCTCTATATATATATGTATATACACATCTGTAGACATCAGCTTAAGCAGAGACAAAAAGGCAACATGCCAATATGTACAAACAACTATTAGTTATGAGCGCTCGGCTCGTGAGCACACCGACATGCTGCAAAAATGCCGACTCCACATCACTAGAGAGCCCGACCTTCTCTAAGGATGAGATCTTTGGGCGCCCAGCGCTCTCGTGCCCAGCCAGAAGCATTGGCCGAATGCTGATTGAGGACCGCAAGGGCTGGGGACATGGAGAGCAAAGCCCGTTTTAGTGTTCGGGCCGTTGGTGCTCTGTGATGAAGCAGGGACTCGAATTTGTCCATGGCCTTTTTTGGCATGCAGTCATGCATCCCTGAATCTCTGACTGGCCTGTCGGTCTTGCATCCGAACTGCAGGGGGGTTGGTTCGGTTCAAGCAGCCACTCAATGTTCGTTCAGAAGCCTTCTCTGCGAGCAAACAGCTATTATTCGGAGGATGTTATGACTTTGCACAGCGGCAAACTCGAAGCTTCAAGCCGAAATCCGACATCCTGTGCAAAAGGAGGATGCCAGCACCTCCGCTAGCCAGATTCAATACGCGCTTTCCGACTCGATCTCAGGCCGTCGGGGAGCTGGGGCATCCTGTGTTTTTGAAGTTTGAATGGGGTTCTTGATGCCAGCGTGGTTTTGTCGCAGCGCAAATGCTTCACGCCTGTGTTGGCCGCATGATGCACAGTCATGCGAGTCAAGCTCGTAGACCTTCGCAGGGAAGCCATTCCACGGAATTACGCAGGGGCTTAGAGATAGAAAGGTATCTGCACAGGCGAGTACAGTTTTGCACATCGCGATTGGGAAAGAAGTGGAAGACCGAATGCGGATTCTAGCTGATGTTATAGGACATTATCGTAGTCTAGAGTATATTTGTAGTAATCGCCCGGATGTAAAGAAGTGTATGTATGTGTATATATATATATAATCAAACCGATAATCAAATACAGGAGCAACTACATACATATAATCATACGTATACCTATACATACATACATACATA